CTATATTTGTGTAAACCGATCGCGATGCTTGGCATACAAAGATTAAAAAATATGGGACACAGACGTTGAAATTAGTTGTATTTCTATAAGTTGAACGAATTGCATTGCTACCAATTCAGAGAAAGCTTATGCGCTTGTGATAAAAATTATCGCCCATAGCTAATGAGTTCAAACAGTTCATATTGAGGAACCAACTACTGCGTTGTACCAGTTCCTATTTAAAACACACCGCTTGTTTCCGTAGTTTATTTATAGAAATAGGTGCATAACAACCTCCCTGATGTGTAAATGTTTGGCTACTTGAAGCGTAATCACCAAGTTATATAAATCTTAGACACAACGTCTGGCACTTCCTTGTAGAACATGCCCTGTTCACACACAGGTAATGGTAAAAATATCTTGAACAGTATATACGAAACGTTTTCACCATCGCCACAACTCGCAGACGCATGCGCTCATCGGTCTCGGCAAAACGAAGCACCGACATTCTTTTAACACGAAAAATCAATTATCAATCGTGTCTGTGCAAACACTTTTTGCTCTGTAACGGTTTCGAGATAAGCACGACAGATATTATTTTTATATCCTTATCTGCCAATGTTACAACTGACATGCTAATGATTTACGATAAACTGTTTTCATTTAAATACATGTATACAACTTCTTCAACTATACATATGAGATGGTTTGGATAAAGATTAAGAAACATGATATGTCTTATTTTACAAATCAGTTACCATGTATCTACTTATATAATACTACTACTAATAAAAATCAAATACAGCATTTTATATTGCGCCCTATCTAGCTAGCATAAGCCACTCTAAAGCACTTTACCGTACATAGATTTATAACTAATACCATTAGCATATACATCAATCAATACAATTTTGAGGAATTTGCAAGAGCAGCCGTATCAGGCGCTAACTATTAGCCCTATGTCACCTGGCTAATATCTCCCTATGTGTGTATGCGTGCGTGTGTGCTGGATATGTAATGTGTGATACAGACTATAGATACTGTAGTGACTATATCTAAGATACAAGCATTTGACTGCACTTATATGACTAGGTAATACATCGGAAATATACAAAACGTAATTACACTACACCATACAGTTCTCTGGTCAAGTAGGAAGGAATAAAGCAACAATTTTACTTAGAGACAGAATAGACAAGGAAAATATAGGAACTTTGTTTTGTTTGTGTTTTACGTCCTACCAACAACCATGATCATTTGAGGACGTGCCAGGTTTTGGTGGTGGAGGAAAGCTGGATTTCCCGGAGAAAAACCACCGACCTACGGTCAGTACCTGGCAATCGCCCCACGTAGGCCTCGAACCCGCAACCCATTGGTGGAGGGCTAGTGGTAGAAGAATGTCAGACGCCTTAACCACTGGGCCACCGCGGCCCATTAAGGAACTTTGTTAAATGTGGACGCATGTCTATAAGGATGAATATTGTTTTAGCTAACTTGCTGTCGTTGTGTTTTTTATTTTATTTCATGATCAAAACAATCAAGAGGTATCAGAAACAAACAAATAAAAAATTGTAACATTTATGAAAGAAGTAAAGTGTTAACGAAGCCGAAAATCCAGCTCGAAATCCATGAACACAAAGGAGAAAATCAGTTAAGAAAAGTACAATAGGAATAAGACCAAGTGTCCCATAATGTTAGGCGTTCTCTTCGACCAAGTCAATTTATACGTTTGTCAAAGCCAAGCAATGCCGCTTTCCAAATAACTTAGAACCGGGGTAGTGTCAGAGAAACAATAAGGCATCCTAGCAAACGTATGGTAGTATACACCCTTTGATTTCATAGAACAAAGTTGTCAACGTTTTAAGATCCGATCGCATTATGCTTATAAAGAGTTTATCAGACAGGATTATGAAAAAAATGTTGGTCACCACAGTTGAAAAGGGAAAAAGGAAAAACAATCCTTACTGCTAAAGCTTCGGGTCAGTGTTTCCGTCTCAATTGTCCTCAGTTGGGGATACTTATCAATATATGTAATTATCTGATTTGTCATATCATTTACAACTGATACAAAGAATCAATCTAATATCAAAATATCTTCCAGTACTGTTTTTAAAAGTAGACATATTTGCTTTTGATGTTCACAAAAATAAACCAAACATAATGATAACAAATGTGTTGCTTTTGCAATTCACGTGCATGATTTTAGATGATTATAAGATTACGTAATGTACCGTATACTGCTAATTGGCAAACACATTTTTTGTTAAAGCTATTTTTAAATTACATGCTTTAAAATAACGTAAAAGCTGGGCAACAGACAAACATGGTGATTTTATCAGACTCAGGTCACATGATATGGCCAATTACGACATAGCCTTATCTAAATTCCATTTAGCGAATCTTTGACGTTGAGCATAGCGTTAAGTATATATGTTCACAAATATAGCCAGTTCGGAACACCCCTACCGTTTTCTTTTAAATAGCAAAAAAACAAAAAATAAAACATATCTTAAGATATTTACGTTTTTTGATTAAGCCCTGTAAGACTGACCGTAATTGAAATTTTGCTATCCAATATTGCAACCGATAATGTCCACGTCAACATGAAGAGGAAGATTAGTCTCCTGTGATTTAGTGGAACAAGCGCAGCACGAGCATATTAATCTTAACACCGGTGTAATTGGTTTTTGTAGTCGGTGTTATAATACCAAATATGGTCTTAACCAGTGCCGCACGTGCCGGTGAACGTGAAAGGAAGTAAGAAAATTGGTGACATGGTAGCACTTGTTGTGAATTGCAAAATACAATAACGTATGTGGTAATTCTATTTAATATGTTGAGTCTCAGTGCTCTTTATTTTATCTCCAACAGAGAAGAATTCCAATTAGTCTGACTTTTTTTGTACTCACAGTTCCTCGCCCATTTACCACACCAAAGGGTGTTACATAATAATTGTTTTTATTTCAATTTTGACAAAAATATCTCTGCCACGGCGTTTTGAACACTGTTCTTCTTGATAAGAAAGCAGTGAACTTATCCGCTCTGCTACTATGTGAAATTTTCTTTCAGCAACACCACAAGGATTAATTTCAAAATGTTCTCAATCCTTAAAATACCAGCATCAAGTAATTATTTAAAAAAAGATGAAAATAATACGTTATAAGAGTGGTGAGTCCCTCTAACAGTGTTTACTAAATCATACATTCGATTAAAAAAATGTTTTTCACTTAACATATGCTTCAAGTAAAAGTAAAATATTATTTTGTCTTCAATTTTTGCTATGGCTTCAAAAGTTTTCTCTTGGTTTGTTCCCATTTTCGTTCAGGGTTTAATGCCCTAGCAACAGCTAACTTATCTGCGGAGAATGCCAGTGAAATAGCAAAGGTACCCGCTTATAACAATCCATGCTATGCCCTCAAAGATGAGAGCCGTGGTAGTGGCTAACCTAATGAGCATAATCAAATATCGATCGTCAAATCGACAGACGAAAAGAATATTTCCCAATGTAATAATGATGGTGATGATAACTTAAAATTAAACATGGTTGTGATTTTGATATCACAAACAGTTTTTGTTAACTGTTCATGTCGTCTTTAGTTTTGTTGACGTGTTTCTCAGGTCGTGTTTAAAATGGTTTGGTTTGGTTTTATTTAGTTTAATGTCCTACATGTATTAGCAGCTAAGGTCTTTTAAAGACGTGTCTCCGTGTTTGTTGTGTAAGCGTGCATATGTGTTCGTGCGCTGGAGACAGGGTATGTTGGTGTACTTGCCTCCTTGTGATAGCGCGGAACTGATACTGACTTTATAGTGCTATATCACTGAAATACCAACCGAAGGCATCCAGCACAGCATTCCGCCCGGTCCATTATAGTGATAAATGGTGAGCAAGCCATTACCGGTAATGCTGAACGTTAAGCAGGGAATAGCAACTAACATTGTAAAGGACTTTGGTATGTCCCGGCCTGGAGACAGAACATATTGCCTTCCTCACCTCGGCCAACGTTCAACATTAAAGCCAAAAGGGAAGTGTTGCCAAGAGAGGTGATAGGAAATAAAAGGTTATTAGAAGTAGAGAGAAATATCAAAATCCCAATTATTGCAATTGTTGCAAAGAATTTTGTGCTTTTGTGTCTCAAAGAAGAGGGCACAAAGGCAAACCCCCAATTCTGCATGGCGGGGTGCTCACATTACTCGCCTCTTGGGATACATGCAGTCGGTAACACCAAGTGTATTCTTTGTTTGATCCCCGACCTGAAGGGGTATGTTTGTAACGACATTTGGTTCGGGTAATGAACTTTTTTTATTGAAGATTTCTTACATAATCTTTGTACTAATGAGCGTCAAAACGCGGCGAATGTGACCTAGATTTGTCGTGGTTTAACAATAAAGTTGTATTGCAAAGACTTAAAGTTTGTTGTCCATCCTCTGAAATTGTTTCTATGTTATAAAATGTGTTATATTATTGGATAAGAAAAGGATAAATAAAAAATCAAAGTCGAATCGTGAGACACAATTCAAGCCTCTGAGAAATAAAGTAACACGTTTTATTTGTAACGCCGTCCGTCACAGAGACCCAAACTACTTCTGCGGTCGTAAAGGATTCGAGTTTAAAAAAACACGTTACTGTTCGTTGTGTCACTAACCTCCAGTTTCAAAACGCTCCAAAAACAATTTTTCATCTCATGTACCTTTATGTAAAAAATACCTTTTCCTTAATGAGAATATATTACTACTAAATATGTCAACGTTTAATGAAATACCTTAACATTTTATATTGATTTTGCAAACAGGGAAAATAGGGAAATACCTTTCAATCAAACACCCTGAGTACAGGAAATGAATGTTTCAAAATTTGTTTAGTATCCTAGTGAAAATATCCACTAAAAATACGACGAAAAGGAAGCACCTCTTGTTTGAAGAAGCAGAAAGCCAACCAAAAGACGCATTTTATTGGACCACGTGCTCATTTCGTCAATTCAGGATTATATAATATGTGAATGGAAGACAGAATGTTGACTTACCCGGTATAGGATGGCCCTCGTAGGCAGTCGGACACTTGACCGAAGCAAAGGAATCAGTCGGACTGGTCATCCAACAAAGAATTCCATCGTACTCGTGCGGGCAATACGTCACACCTGGAATCGACCAATCAGCACGTTAGGCTCGAAATACAAATATGATAAAGATCAATTGATATACATTTTTGTACATATTTAACGATAATGTTCCTTTTAATGGTCTTGAGACGAATCTGATGAACTGTACCGTGTCAGAATTCGTCATGAACCCTGTTTAGTTGTAAATAAATTACTTCTTTTACCATCACCGACACACCTTTGTACAATATTTTATATATACAATTAAATTCAGATTAAAAGACGTCCGACTTGAAGTTCCTGCTGTACAGAAATAATACAAACTAAGATTAAAATCTACCTATTTATGGACCCAAATGCATATCACGAATTTGGCGGGAAGCTACTCTGAATCAGAAAAACTCTTTTTTGTTCCCTCGTGATCTATATAGAAGGGAAATTACTACAAGTGAAGAAAAGCACGCTTCTTCATGATCATAATGATGCAGTGGTGCTCTGTAACTTAAAGGTAGAAACATTTAAATCCAAGTTTAACACATAAACCATCAACGCGGCAAGGAGTACATTTTAACTCGTTCTTTCATTTAAAATGTTATCGTTTAAAGTACAAACAAATAAATTTTAACGCGTTCACATTCAACACATTAGCATATAACGTGCTTATTGGTACTTAAACGCGTTTTTATTTAAACATAATCATTCATTGAACGCGCTAAAATAAAAGTTAACGCGATTTCGAATTTTATAAGTAAAATGCTTACGTTTCAGTTTCCCTCTTTTTGTACATGAACCGTTTATCGAACGAGAAATGTCAGGGAGTAGGTGAAACTTAAATTAGCTGACAACAGACAAACCAGGAAGAAAAATTGCAATAAAATGAAGAAATTATATTACCCGAGACTTCGGAAAAAGCGTGGAAAGGTCATGGCTGACGTAAGGAGACAACCCAATAGCCTTTTTTCAATAACCTAGCTACTGACAATTACTTGGAGTAGATCAAACGCCCAGGTAAAAAAAAATAATAAATAAATGAAAGGGTGATGTCCTTTGCAATTCGCTCCAGGACACAGGGGCCTGTCACTTATGAAAGGGCGTCGGAGAAATATAAAATAGCACTTTATGTTAGAAATAAAGTAATTGATACACTATACCCACAATGCGGACAAAGGAATTTGTTAAATTATTATTGCAATCCGCCCCTTTCCCAACACATAAAAGAGCATTAAAAAATGACATATCACACTGTACAACACAAAGAAAACCCGTTATCAGGAAACAGTTCTTTATCACAAAATACCTAACAGAAACCAGTTTATTGATTTGCTGATATTAAAACATATCCCTCCGGTCAGCAGGTAGCCGAATGGAGAGACAAATCTGGTACAGATTCGCATTTTTCTACACAACTATACAACTAAATGGCGGATGTGGTCACCGCGCCTCTTCCAGTTGGTAAAAAGAGGTAAAATATGGAAGAAAAATAAACAATTATATGTGACATGTTCCTGTGTCCCTGGATGATACATCACGTGTAAAGACCTTAAAGGACAATGGACAATTGCTCCTTCCATTCCTCATCAGAATGATGAATTATATGTTCAAACAAGTATGAGGTGACACGTAAAGACTCAAACGTCCCAGATAAAGGTACAAGTGACATGCTAAATCTGTCTGGGACATCGATAAATATTGAACAGTGTTACTAAACTCCTTCGAGACACTGACCCATATGGAGCGTCCGGCTCAGACAGAATTCCGGCCAGACTGTTACAAGAATGTGCAGAGGAGTTAGCGCTAAACCTAAGAGCGATGCACTGTCTATTACTACAGGTCTGCTTTCTGAATTGCACAGATAGCAAAGTGAAGGTAGACGTTACTTGTTATTTCGGAATGAGATCCATTAGTCTGGTATGAATGATAACGCTGTTTTTGTTTTGAACACAATCAGTAATTGAAAACTTATTTTGCAAGCTTTCGAACACGTCCCCAAAGAGTGCAAATGACCGGTGTGTCGAATTTAAACTGCTGAAAACATTTCAATAAGACAGCTGTCAGAAAATATCGAGACATTTCGCCAAATAGCTCTCTAATAATGCAGTCAGTCAGAGAGACGGGCATTGAGTTATTTTCAGCAGTTTCGAGATATTTACACTCTTTGCACGACAAAGAAACACTTGTTTGACAGACGTTTTCGAAAGCTCGCAATATAAGATTCAATTACTGATTGTGTTCAAAACAAAAACAGCGTTATCATTCATACCAGACTAATGGATCTCATTCCGAAATAACAAGTAACGTCTACCTTCACTTTGCTATCTGTGCAATTTACAAAAACAACTATCATTGACATTACTGTGGGCAATATACTGGCTAAAGAACAGCAAGGATACCTTCATCTTAAATATATGTGGGTTCCGCATTAAACGAAATTGCGAGAAGCAACTACAGACGTCATTTGACGAAGGTGTCCATCAAATGCATAAAGAAAACACAACTAGATATGGTTATTCGAAGGATAATAAATTGTTTATTTTTAACATGCTGCAACATATGGTTTAATACAAATGAAATATAAGTGAGAATTATTTTGAATAGATCAATACTTACAGTCTCCGTGACGTTTTGTGAATTAAAATGTGTGTCTTTCCAGAAATACATAAAAAATATGACAGCTGTCTCTTCTATATCAAATGAGAATCCATTTGGCTCCTCAAAATTTTCCAGACTTTCATTCAAAGTATTATTCGAAATTTTATAATCCCTGGGTATTAAACTAAAAAGTTCAAAATACAACTGTTCTGCTTTTACAAAATTTACTTGTTGTTACTATTTTAGATTTATTTCTTCTTGACCAAGCAATGTTTTTGTTTCCGTAATATTGAATTAACAACTTTTAATAAAGCAATTGATTAATAAGTAAACAATTGAACGAATTAAAGAATAAGAATGAATTAATGAATAAATGAATAATGAATAAAAGGAGACGATGTGAGATAGTAATAATAAATAATTCGAGCTTCTTATATACCGCTTTATCACAACCTAGTTCGTAGGTCGTCTCAAAGCAGTTCACAAATTATTATCCGTGGTTATAGGGCCTTTGCAACCAGCCAATATTTTTCTCAACTCCCTGGGGAGCATACAGCCGATGCTGCCATTTCGGCGCTCACAGCTAGCATTCTACAATTCTAGCGCTACCCAGCCACGTACTCATTTAGAGCTGAGTAGACTGGAACAAGCGGAGTAAAGGTTCTTGCTCAAAGATACAACACAGTGCCGTGACGAGAGTCGAACTCGCAACCCTTCGGTCACGAGCCCGGCGTCCTCGCACTAGACTATCGTGACTATGAGATATGAAATTTAGCATCGGTCAGTGCTTTACAAGATGTATCTTAATAAAAATAGCATTAAAGCTATAACATCATTGGCGCATCTGGGTGTGAGGTTACTGTATAGTCTTCAAACACGACTGTGATAAGGAGGTGAGCAACATGAACATTCTCTCTCAAATGAAGTGCTAAGCTCGCAATATTGAATCTAGAGTGACTGAGGATATTTTATTATAGCGTCTAAGAAGACCAGATGGGTAAATGCCAAGGCGAACTAGTCACTTGCTTTTATCTCAGATGAAATTTAATAGCATCCACAATGGGAACTTAATAAAGAGCCTACGAGACATTGATTCGACTGCACGCGGAGTGCTGTTGGAGTGTTTGGAGCTAGTGAACTGCGACGGACATCCACGGAATTGGAATCGGTCCGGCGCTATAGACCGTTAGATTCGTAATTAACTTGTACGCCAGGGCTATCTGTACGGCGAGAGTATTGCTGAAAGACTAAATATGGTAGCTTTAAGCAAGAAGGAAAGACACATCCTTGTACAAACTCGGTCACAAGAACATAGCATTACGATAATTTTAAACTACCTTACACCTTTTGCCGGTAGAACATCGCAACTTACTTACGCTATATACGCCCGCAAACAAATGTTGCATCATTAATTTATCATTCAACCTATACACTATATATAAGAACTTGGTGTTCCCTCCCCGAACACAAACACAACTCCTTACCTGACTCCATCAAGGCCGAAATAAAGAACTTATACATGTAAAACTAATAACTGGAATCACTTTACTTTTAGTACATGCAATATATTCGGATTCATACTTTTCATTCGAATTTTAAACTTGCGCATTTCAATCCAAAATTTTCTAAATAAAATGTGGTCTAAGACCTAGTATGGAAAAGAAGATAAAGCGGAGATTGAAAGGGACGAAACAAATATTTTATAAAATATTATCCATAATCGAAAGCCTTTTACGACGTGAATTGAGAAAGAAAATCTACTCTTTTTGTCGCAGAACATGAAGAATGCGGAAACCTTAATCACTACGGCTGTTAAAAGAACACTACTTCTTGAAGAACGTTTTAAATAACAAGTTCAGGTTCAACAATATCTGTTCGTTAAGACTGTCATAAGTCGACGCTTACTTTCATTTTATCATTTTATCTACACACTAGACAAAACTTGCTATTGTTTATACTAAAGTAACGTTTTCCTTTGTCCTGTCCTAGTTTTTTTTTTGTATACAAACCTGTGCAGTTATTTACGTAAATTATTTTTCATGACCTCACGAACATAAAGTAAAGCTTGCCAGTACATCTATACGACGTGGATCAAAACAAAAACACACGTAGTAAATGTGATCGCTACCTTTCTTTGCCAGATATTTGACCTATTTGGCAATCCCGTGATATAGACATCCTGATCTCGTTTCCGGTTTATATTTTGTTCATACACACATGTATGTACGTCTACGTTAAAGTATGCTAAGCTTGGTAGAAACATGTATCTTTTTGCCGAACGAAGCGCGTGACTTTTCTTGGACGGGTTTTAATGTACGTCATTCCACATACGAACTTCCTGTGCAGCCCTTGTTTGAGAAAACGTGAGAGGTTATCATAGACGTTAACGTGACTTTCAATGGCATTTTTTTTAAACATCCTTTATTGTAATTTATATACAATGGGAGTTG